GGCCCATGTTGGCCCCCCCCCCCCCGGTCTCCTGGCTGTTTGCAGCGGGGGCTGACTCGGGGGGGGGGCGTGCTTTGTGGTGGAGGCCGCACGGCTGGAGGCTGATGCTTCCCCTGGCCGAGGTGGCCTGTGAGCGGCACCCTGCCTGCCTGCCCTCGGACATGCGTGGGTCAAGTGCCTAGAGGCATACGAGCCAAATAACACTCTTAGTCAATTTAACCATGAACAGATGTTGTTCACAAGTATGCAAAAACACATGCATTTATTTCACAATAGATTTAAAACAGACAATGGCCCTTACAGGAACCTCAGTTATCATTGACAGTCTGCCCATGACATCCAAAAGTGACAACCATTGGCCCTGACCGGATATGCCTTTTGGCCCACTTGCCCTCCCTCAGTGGTCAAACGAATGACTTTGTCACATGGCTCCTCCTGACGCAATCGTGTCATATCCGCTCATCATACACTGACCGAAATGAGCACGGTTGGAGTCCAGCAGTGGCACCTTTCAGACCGGCCAAGTCCAATTCTGGGGGTGCGCGCCCTCTGGCGTGGTGCTTCAGAGCGCCCGAGAGGCTCTCGGGGGGTGATGGGGGGGGGGGGGAGAACGTGGGTCAGGAGCCTCATTCTTGGGCATTCCCGGCCATGGCCAGGGAGGGACCCTCTTATTTCTGTGGCAACGATCCCGTCCACTGTGGGCTTCTCTCACTCGGTCAAGGCCGGGAGCCGAGTGTGACGGTGAGCCAGACCTGGGGGTCTCTCCTCTGGGGTCCCTCCTGCCCCCTCTGTCTGGCCGTGACCGCCCAGAGTCCGGGGAGGGGGGGGAGTCTTTCCCGTTGGCCTGCTGGCAGATCCCTTTTTTTAAAGTGGAAAGGCTGGGGGGGGGGTTTGGCCCGGGGGCCATCCGCACGCTGCCTGGGCAGGAGGAGGCCACCGCCCACTCAGGCCCTGCAGTCCCACCCCCTCTCTCTCTCCCTGGCCCAGGCTGCTGGCAACGCCGTGAAGAGAGCGTCGGACAACCTCGTGAAGGCAGCCCAGAAAGCAGCCGCCTTCCAGGATCACGAGAACGAGACTGTGGTGGTCAAGGAGAAGATGGTGGGCGGAATCGCGCAGGTGAGGCAAAGGCCAGGCCCCCTCCCCCCTCTCCGGGGGGGCTCCAGCCCCACCAGCCCGGAAGGGGAAGAGTCAGCTGCCCTAAAAAAAACCCTTCCTCCTCCTCCTCCTCCTCCTCACCGCTTGCTCCCTTTCTGTACCTCCCCCCCCACCCCCGCCACACCAGATCATTGCCGCCCAGGAAGAGATGCTGCGCAAAGAGCGGGAGCTGGAGGAGGCACGCAAGAAGCTGGCCATGATCCGGCAGCAGCAGTACAAGTTCCTGCCCTCGGAGCTGCGGGACGAAGGGCAGAACTGAGCTGGCGGGGGTCCCGCCCTCCGCCCACCTCCTCGCTCCCTATTTAATCGCAAGCCTTCTGAGCGTGTGCGGGCCGGGTCTTCTCCTGCCCCCACTGGGGGGGCACGGGCACGCTCCAAGACCCGCCTGCCACTGTACCAGCAACTCCTCTGCTCACCACCGCACAAGCCTCTGGGCCGTGTCCCGGGATGCCTTTCTCAGGAGGGGGTGGGGAGTGTCAGCGCCGCCCCCCCCCCCCGACACACACATACACACACCCCTTTCCTCCCTGGGGTCTTCCTTGTGCCTTGGCCGGTGGGCCTCTGCTCTCTCGTGGGGGGCGAGAGGGCCCCTCTGCGTAGCCCCCTCGGTGCCTTCCCCTCACAGCTTGACTGTGCAATGCGGAAGGGGGCCATCGCCTCAGCCGGCCCCCTCCCATCCCATCCTCTGGACTCACCAATCGGATGCCTTTGGAGAGCCAGTCTGGTGTAGAGTGGTTAAGAGCGGCGGACTCTAATCTGGGAGAACTGGGTTTGGTTCCCCCACTCCTCCGCCTCCTCCTCCTGAAGCCAGCTGGGTGACCTTGGGTCAGTCACAGGGCCCTCAGAGCTGTTCTCTCAAGAGCAGTTCTCAGTCAGAGCTCTCTCAGCCCCGCCTACCTCACAGGGTGCTTGTTGTGGGGAGGGGAGGGGAAGGAGAGTGTAAGCCGCTCTGAGACTCGGAGTGAAGGGCGGGGGATAAATCCCAACTCTTCTTCTTCTTCTTCTTCTTTGCGTGGCCGCACCTCTGCTGCCGCCCGCCTGGCGTGCACATCTGCCCAGAGGCAGTTCCGCCTCACGCGCCCTCGCCTGTGCCTGCCCCCCCCCCCTCCACGGCTCTCCCTCCTCCTTCGTTCCCAAGTGCCTGCCTGGGTGGACCCAGCGCCGCGGGCTGGGGTGCCCGTCCCTCCCCTCTTGCCCTGGCCTCACCTGGCAGCAGCGGTTCTGCTCTGAACTGAAGCTTCCCCCCACCCCCAAAACTGCACTGCCCCCTTTCCAGACCCCGCTTCCCCCCACCCCCAAAACGACACTGCCCCCTTTCCAGACCCCCCGCCCCCCCACCCAGACCTGCCCACTTGCTGCGGTAGCTCACCCTCTTGTAATTTTGATACGTCAATAAAGCTGCCTGCGTATGCCCGTGTCTGAGGGTCCAGGGGAGGGGAGGGGGGTCCGCACGGAAGGAGTCTGCAGCCCTCTGGCGTGGCTCTCTGGGCATGAACAGGGCGGGGTTCCTCGGCAGTGTGGCCCCCCCACCCCCCACCTTTCCTGCCAGAAGGGTCACCAAGGCCCGTCATCGGAACACCGGCCTCTGGGCTAGTAGTTCAGACAGCCGACAGGCAGAAGACAGGCGCCTCCCGGGAGGACCTCCTCCTTGTGGCTGAGAGCCGCTTTGGCGAAGGATCGGATCAGTCATTTTGGAGGTTTCTGCCCTGGCTCTGCAGGGGAATGCGACTTCAAAGTCTCCTCGGCACTGTTGGTCCCAGATCATATCACGGCTCTTTTGCGCTCTGGGCAAGACACACAGCACGTCTCCCCGGTGGGGGGGGGGGGGGGGGGGGGGGGGGGGGGAGAGGTTGGACCAGAACCAGCGGGTTGGAATCAAATGGAAAGAGTTTCCGGCTAAACACGAGGAAGAACTTCCTGCCAGCCAGAGCGGTCCCTCTCTGTGGGACGGGCCTCCTGGGGAGGTGGTGGTGGTGGTGGGCTCTCCTCCTCCTCGGGAAGCAAGATGGCCACCGGAAGGCGTGAGCCAGGGCTTGCTCTGGGGCTAATGCTGATTGCCATTTTGGAGTTAGGAAGGAATTTACCTCCAGGCTGGATCAGTCCAGGGCTCCTGGAGGTTTTCGGCCTTCCTCTGGCCATAGAGCAGAGGTCACTGGGGGGATGGTGGGAGGGGGAGGTGTGAATTCCCTGCACTGGGCGAGGAGTTAGACCAGATGAGCCCCAGGGACCCTTCCAGCTCTTCTGTTTCTGTTCCTCCAGCCTATGAGGTCATAAGAACATAAGAGAAGCCATGTTGGATCAGGCCAATGGCCCGTCCAGTCCAGCACTCTGTCACACACTCTGGCCAAAATATACCAGGGGTCATCAGGAGGTCCGCCAGCGGGGCCCCCCCAACCTGATCTGCCACTCCATGTGGAAACTGAAAAACAGACTCTGGTGTCAGACGAGGATCTGGGAGACACCCCCCCCCGCTCTGCCATGGAATCTTGCCGGGCAATCTTGGGCCAGCCACACACTCTCAGCCTAGTCTACCTCACAGGGTTGTTGTAAAGATAACATGGAACAGAGGAGAATGATGTAGGCTACTTTGGGTCCCCAGGGAGAAGAAAAGCAGGGTATAAATGAAGTAAATAGAATGCGAGGTAGTGAGGCTCTGGAATGTGGGGATAAAGAGGCGAGCTTAGCGGACGAGCAAGGAAGAGGGTAAGCGGACGGATGTTGAAACTCTGATATAAAATTCTATTCAGATAGGCTAAGTGAAAAGGGTTAAAACGGCAAGGAGGAGAAATAGTTAAAAAAATACCTTTAGATACCAACGTAGCTTTTCAGTGTTGTAGACCCCACCACCTCCCAAGGAAGCCTGTTCCACTAAGGAACTGTTCTTCCTAAGGTTTAGCCGAAAACCTTTTCATTTACTTTCAAACTACTCGGGTGTAACTAATTTTAGTTCTGTTCTAATTTTCTGGTCTAACTCGAATTTTAGTTCCCTTATAGCTGCTCAAACTACCTAGGCGTGGCTGATTTTGGTTCTAAACAGACTCCCATTTCTTGGCTCGTTTTACTGCAGTATGGGAAAGGGTTAAAACACAGAGGCTCAGGCAAAGGACAAGGATTCAAGCTGAGGTCACTGGCTAGTTTATGCTCTAATATCACTTTGGAACACCTGTAGATTCAACTACTGGTACCAGAGGCTGGGGGTGGTGGGTTCACAGAGAAGGCGAAGCCTTAGGCAGGTTTTTGTAATAGGAAAAAAGAAAGCAAACAACAGAACGAACTGCAGCCAGGGTTGAAATACTGCCTAGGGCTTAAAAAACCGGGGGGGGGGGGGGGGGGCTATTTTAAACTAAATTTAAATTTAAGCAAATTCTCACATTCTTTAAAAAAGGGGGAGGGGGGTCTCCTACAAGAAACCAAGCTGTTAGATACCTCCTGTAACTGCTGAGGCTGTTCAGCTAGAGTCCCCCTTGATCCTAGAAGGGCTAAACTAACATTTGAGATTAAATTAACATTTGAAGCAAAAGGCAGCCCGGGAAGCTCCGTCTGAGCAGCCCCCGTTCAGCAGCAACACCTCTTGTCAATCAACCACTGGGCGACTCGCTCGCTCGTCCTCCTCGGTGGGGCTGGCTCCCGTGGGCTGTGGAGCCCCGGCCTGAGCTTTTTATTTCGGGCTCCTGTGAGCAGGCAAAGTGTCTGGGAGAAGGGGACAAACAGGCGAGTTTGGCAGACGTAGCGAGTTTTGAGCAGCAGGGGGAGGAGGCCAGGGCACCAGCCCTCTACCATGTCTCTAAAGGGGGTACGCCCACTTTCCACCAACACATCTACATAAATATGAAATTTATCAAAAAGGGATTTTTTTAAAAAAACAAAAAACCAGCAACCACCAGTTACGAGGGTAGAGTGTGCCCGCAGGGCCTTGGGGGCTGTCCAGTGTGTTGCACGGAGTGTCACCTCCTGTATGATGGTCCCGCCAGTGAGACGGAAGTCGTGGGCGTGTGCCCTCGGGGCAAGGGGCTCCTGCTCCTCAGCGGGGGCGTAGCCGGGGGGGGTTATTTGGGGGGGGGCAGCGGGAACCCTGGACGCGCCCCCTCAGGTAGCCCTCAACCCAGTAGTGTTTATAGCATGGCAAATAAACTGTGGGGCTGGCGTGGGGGTGTATGGGGAAAAGGCAGCAACCTCTTGTCCCCTTTCAAACAGTTACACGGGTGCCAACTGGGAGTCTCAGTGCATGGGTGAGATGCTGGTGTAGAGAGGAAGGGTTTGAGTTTGTTAGGCACTGGGGTGCTTTTTGGAACAAGCAGGACCTGTACAAAAGTGACAGCCTCCAGTTTTCCCAAGAAGGAGCCAGGCTGTTGGTGCTTAAAATCAAAAAGGTGGCAGGGCAGTTTTAAAAGTAAATCCTGGGGGAAAGCCAGCAGGTGATTAAATGTCTCTGGTTTGGGATGGCTCATCTCCAAGAGATGGAGGGGTAGTTGTTACTGTTCTAGAAGGAAGTGGATTAGGATAGGACACAGGCACCGACAAACAATATTGACTACCTGGCAAGGTCTAGAGGCCTACAGGAGAAGGTTGCAGGCCTGACATGTCTGGGAAATTAATATGCAAACACTAGAAGCCTCTGAGGTAGAGTGGGGGAGCTGGAATGCATAGTGACAGAGGGGTACATACTCACTGTGGGCATTTCAGACACTTGGTTATAGTACATTCAAACAACTGAGGCCCAATTGCGGGAGTTCCCGCACGGGCCATCAGGCCTGGGAGCAAACGCTTCTAGGCGGCATAACGTATCTCCTTCCCACGGTTCTTCGTGAGATCACCCAAGCAACTATCTAGCAGCAACCACCTGTGGCCTTGAGAGATATAGACGTTCCAGCAGCTAAGCATTTAAGCGCATCAACAGGTCTACATATGAAAGCTAAAGCAATCAAGCGCATACATGGAGAACAGAAAAGGAATTTGGCAGCTTGCTGACACACAGGAGGTGGCGGCGGCTACAAGCAGGGACGGCTTCAAGAGGGGATTGGATAAGCATCTGGAGCAGAGGTCCATCAGTGGCTATTAGCCACAAGGCATAGATAGGGACTCTGGGGCAAGTGATGCCCTGTATTCTTGGTGCTTGGGGGGGGGGGGAACAGTGGGAGGGGCTCCTGGTCTCCTGGCCCCACTGCTGGACCTCCTGATGGCACCTGGTCTTTTTGGCCACTGTGTGACACAAGAGTGTCGGACTGGATGGGCCTTTGGCCTGATCCAACATTTGGCTTCTCTCTTACGTTCCTTAAATCCTTGTGATGCTCCCCATGTGGACAAGATGGAGCTGCCGGGTGAAAACCTTAGTCCTGCATGGCATGTACTTCCTTGGTCAGAAACCATAAGGTCAAAGAGTTTCTTCCCTGAGTCCAGAGGATTCATAATTTCTCCTTGGGAGAGTTTGTCCCCCAAGCCTCTCAAAAAGAAGAGTTTACTGTTTGGCCTAGCGAACTCTGTCCCTTTGAGTGTGACATTTGAGCAGG